ATAAAAAAATAAAACAAAAAAGAAATTTAGAATTTCATTTAAACCCAATAATCATGCCACAGAATTTGACTTACAAGAAATATTAACACAGCCTAGAAAACTAGCCTTAAAATTCCCACATTTCTATTTGCTCATTCAAAACAAACTTCTAGATAAGCAAAGTGGAGAATTTATCCGCACTCAACTACCAGTGCCCACATGTCTTTCTAAGCCTGTGCTTAGTTTGCAGCTTTTATAAGACTCTTCTCTGAGGCTGTTTCAAAGCTGGGGGTCCCATACAAAGACGTAGGCAGCTTTCCCTGAAGACCATTGCTCAGACTTCATCAGCATTCCAGCCCATTGTTCCTCCTAAAGGTGATTGAGCATTTGTACCATCTCACTGACTCCATCAAGTCCTGACACTTCTGAATGAGACGGTTTTCAGCTTTTCTGACCTCTGCAGGGTACTCTTGCCACCTCCATTCAAATGTCCCTCCACTGTGGAGTGCTGACTCTCACCTGGACAGCACGGGAGGTAATGGGCCAAAAGATGCAGCAGGAAGAGTCCTGTTTCCCTCCACTTGCTCTCTGTGACCTCAGGAAAGAACACTAATCTCTCTTATTCTCAGCTTCTCATCTTTATACTAGATGTAACAGAACCCACTACCTGTATCAAAGGGTCATGTCGAGGCTTAAAGAAGACCATGCTTAAGCGCTTCACAGATCCCTTTGCACAGAAAAATGGTTGCAGATCCTACGATTTGGAAACTCATGAGGCTTTTTTAAAAAAAGAGAGAAAAGTGATTATTGAACTGAAAGATGAAAATACACAATTACAAAAATGCTTGTCATAAACTAGTCACTCCGCTCTGCAAAAGCTATGAAGGCTTGTTCTCACCCATTATTGTTGCGATTCACGTTCCAAGACAATGCCTTAAACCCATCTGAAACACAGTGGAGTCGACATAACGAAATGCTAGGTGCTGAGAAGACAGGTGAACCATCTGGGAAGAAAGGCCACTTGTAGGTCTGCAGCCCCTGCTGGCTGCGCTTCGCATGCATTTTCATATGCATGAGAAAGACAGGCAGCCCTAACCAGAGGTCAGGTTAGTTACCAGAGTAATGACGGCAGGTCTGAGAACTGCACAGAAGGCACTGCAGGGATCCAGCCCCTGCCCTCTAGACACTTGCAATTCAAGGAGGACATCAGTGGCTGAGATGGATGGCCAATGACAGATATGTGGTGTTGAGTCACCAGGAGGCCAGCCAGGAAGTGCAGGTGGGGAAGACTCAATGTCAGGCTATTTTAGGTAAGGGTGAGTTTATGACTGAATGCATGGCCAAAGGGTCGGATGTTCAGACTTGGTGAAAGTTGGAGAAAGAGCATACTCTGGCATTTGCTGTGAACCCAGGAGGATACTGCAAATTGAGTATGATTCTCAACATTGAGAGTGTCCAGTAAAGGAGGAGGTTTAGGTTGAGATAGAACTATTCTCCATCATTCCTGAGGAACTGTAGAAGCCCTGACTGTCAAAGAAACCAAGAATAAGATTGGGTGGTGATGGACTGCATGGGTGCCACCAACCCTGCCCTCTCCACTATGCTTGGGCCCAGGAATGATAAAAAAAAAAAAGTCCACTGGGGCAAGGTGGGCCATTTTAAAGGACTCTACAGAAAGTAGAATGTATAGGAAATGAAACTAGCCTTGAGACTTCAAGCACAATGGATGACACCATCACCTAAAGTTTCCATTAAACTTTCCACTAAAATGTTCCGATTTGGAACCCATATCTAAGAGTGGGCTACTTGCGGCTAGTTTTAGTGGGTCAGTGTGAGCAGGATGTTTTGGACTTTGTCTCCAGATACTGCAGATGTTCTGGGTATCTCTGCATCCCCAGAAGCTCTGAGTCAGGAGACCCTACTGGTGTTTGTACAAATCTCCCAAGACCAATCCCCACTCTGGGGTCTACAGCCTCTGGCCTGGGTATATGGCAGAACCAAAGGAGGGCTGTTGGCTGCTGTAAGTTTCTACACTTTAGGCAGCAACAGAATGTTTACCCCCTACCTGGACTTATAAGCCAGGTACGGCCCGCAACCCTCAACCATCATGGGATAAGGCTGAGGGCTGTACCCAGATCATGACGATGAGGACGCAGGTGCCCACCAGAAATTGGGGCGCTGTAACTGCAAACTTCTTGGCTGGACCTTGGCTTGATGGCAGTAAATATCTACTCATTAATTCTCTGATTAGCCAATGTTTAGTGAAGATTTTGAAGGCAATATGAAATAATAATTCTAGGAATTTCTAATAGGCCAATTAAAAGACATCTGAATGAAAATGAAAAATATCTGGTTTAGGATAAATGCATTACTGCTGAGCACACACATCTAACTTCACCACTTACTAGCTAAAGACAGGAGTTTTAAACTTCTAGAATTCAATTGTGTAATCTGGCAATAAAGTCAGAACTAAAACATGATTTTATTTTTCTTCCTTTAGGGGAAAAGGCATACAGATGTATTTCATCATAGTTTGATGTGGCAAAGGAACCCTCAGAATCCAGAACCAAAGACACAGGAGAAGCTGCAAATATTTATGCTTAGGTTCAACACAGCGTGGGCAGCTGTGTGGAGGTCAGTTTGGACAAAAAGGCTGTGGTCTAATGCTGGTAGGCTGAGTGGGGGCTCAGCAAGGCCTGTCTGTCTGGATTCTTCTTGGCCTCTCTGAGCAGCATTCCTTCCTTCTGGGTATGCAGCAGGCAGGACCCTCTCTGGAATTTGAGTCTTACTGCCTACAGTCAAACAGAGTAGGTCAGATAATTTCTTTCTTTTTTAAACTGTTTATTTTCGATTCAGGGAGTACCTGTGCTTGTTACATGGGAATTGCTCATGAAATAAGGAGGATTGGGCTTCTAGTGTAACCCATCATTCAAACACTGAACACTGTACTCAACAGGTAAGTTTCAACACTCACTCCTCTCCCACCCTCCCCTACTTTTGGAGCTCCCAGTGTCTATATCTCCATGCTTATGACCATGTGTATCCATTGTTTAACTGCCTCTTACAGGTGAGAACATGGAATATTTGATCTGCTTCTGAGTTTGTTCACTTAGGATAATGGCCTCCAGCTCCAACCATGTGGCTGCAAAGGCCATGATTTCATTCTTTTTTATGGTTGCATAGTATTCCGTGGTGTGTACATCACATTGTCTTGTAGGCCATCATTGGTGGACACTTAGGTTGGTTTGATGACTTTACTATTATAAACAGAGCTGCAATAAACATACAAATGCAGGTGACTCTTTAAATATAATGTTTTATTTTCTCTTGGGTAGATATCCAGTAGTGGGATTTCTGGTTGAACTGTAATTCTATTTTTGGTTCTTTAAGAAATCCCCATACTGTTTTCCATAGAGGTGGAACTAATTTACATTCCCACCAGCAGTATATAAGCATAAAACATGTTTACTATACTAATATATGACTGTGCCAGATTAACTCTTTATAGTAGGGACGAGGAACACATTGATAAATGTCAACCCTTGTCCTCATGGAGACAGAGAAGCTGGCAGCCAATTCCACAGGATAAATGCTTTCAGAGATATAAGAAGGAGCTGTGAGGCCACAGGAGAGGGCGAACAGAACTGCTGGGGGAATCTGAAAAGGGTGGCGTAAGACACAGTTTCTGAGCCAGATTGGAAAGATGGCTATGAACTTAGCCAGTGGTGGAAATTACCCGGCATGCCTCGGGCCAGAACCAGGCAAGATGGTTCTTCAGAAGGCCACCTTCCAACTCCAAGAGCTGTGGCATTTTTGTACCGATGCTCATCATTTCTTAGAGGAAACCCTGTGTTCCTGCAACAGTTTTTTTTGCTACCTTGTTCCTGATTGGAAACTACATAATAGTCAGAGGGAGACTGACATTTGCACCTCCTGCCAAAAATGCAAAGAAGTAAATATTCATCTGAGAGGAGGGTGTAAATTAACCCTGGCTTTTACTCTTAGAGGTAGGAAGGGGAAAAGAATATTTCTGAAAAACACTTTCTCCACCATGAAATTAAAGTATTTTGAATGTTTTTAGCAGAAATATGAAGAGGAAATTTCCCAAGCATGACATGCATGTTCAAAGGAACAGAGAAAGGAAAAGGAGCATGGTTGGTAGAATGTATAGTTTGACCCAAGCAAAGGTTTCTCTATTAGAAATGGACTAACTTTCCTTAGTAAGCATCTGACTTTGATGACACATGATAGACATGGGAATTTTCTCCCAGGAAAAGTTTCAGCATTTTAGGAAAATACGGCAATCTACAAGGCACCTTGCACATTACCGCCTCAGAGGACGAGGGCCGCTGTGTTTTCAGACATGCAGAGTGGGCACCCATGGAGGGCAGCCAGCCAGGCTGCAGATCACTTTCCTCACACACGCCTGTTGGGGACCAAGGAAAGCCCCCATTCCCAATGATAGCAGGAGTCTGCAGGAATGACCACACATGGCCCAAGCGCCTGTGAAATGTTTCTCTACTAATTGGTCCCCTCCTTCCTCCCTCCCTCTTCTTTTCTTTTCTCTTGTCTTTTATTTTTCTTTCTCTTCATTCCCTTCCTTCCTTTCTCCTTCCTTTCCTTTCTTTTTTTCTTTCTTCCTTTTCTCCCTTCTCTCCCCTTCCTCTCTCTTTCTCTTTTTCTTTCTTTCTTTTCTTTCTTTTGTATGTTACTGGTCCTGAAGCAAGAGTCATTCTGCAAACCTTTCACCCCGATGCAAGTCTCAGCATTCCCAGTGCTGATGCCAGCCACAGGTGGTGAAAGCTGGGCAGTGATAGCGGCAGTGGGGGAGGGGGTGTCTGATGCAGAACCTGGAACAGTCCCCACCTCTCCTCTGGATCAAGCCCCAGGTGACCTATAATAGGATGACTCTGTCCTTATTTCCCTAGGGTCCTCCACATCGCAGTTTCTTTGTCGTCCACTTCTTCTCTCAGCCCAGTCCATTTAAATTTGAAATTTGTTCAGACCATACTTGTGGTTCCCAGCTCTTCTTCCGTTCATGAACACCACACATCAGGGTGCAGGACTCACCCTCAGCGGTGGACACGTTTTCTCCTCAAGGTCCAGGCCCTGACTCCACAAACTCCAGCCCTTGATCCTTGAAAGGAGGCCAGAATGCAGGGTGCTAAAACTCGGTGTTAACTCTCCGTGTAAAAGGATGGCGAGCGTGACGCAGGATAACACCCTGCCTGAGCTGCTCCCCTCGCCTCCCAGGGTCCCCACTGTCTGGTTCCGAGGGATCCATGCATGGCTTTGAGGACACTCAGTGTCCTACACGCTCTCCTAGGCCTCTTACAAGATTGTCACCATTACTGTCTTCATCCTGCTTCTCATCACTCACTATGTGCCTGCTATTCGGACGCTGTGCTAAGCCCAGTGCATATGCTCTTGTATTTCACTTCACCTATGATTTTGCCAGTAGGCATTATTATCCCTAAGTTCACCAAACAGGAAAGAGAAGGCTCAAGAGGAAACTGACAAACCCGCCTGCTTATCAGTCCAGCAAGGGTAGGCTTTAAGGAACAAGCACTTTTCCTCCTGGCCACAGCTTAAATCCCAGACCCAACCATTGTTCCCGAGATCTCACTCCATTGATGGCTTGTGCTCTTTCTTCCTCAGTATTTTCCCTCCCGATGCCACGTTCCTCTCTGGCCACAAATCCACTTAATTCCCCTGATGAACATAAACTTGAAAGAAGTTGTTGACTCGATTTAGGGGATTATGGAGCAGAGGAATCCAGAACAGGGAAGCAGCAGCATCATGCACTAAGGAGAAGATCTTTACAGTTAAGCACAAACCACTGTCTCCAGATTCCGCAACAAGTGATCCTTCTAGACATCAGTGAAGTGAATCCTGGACTCACACACCCGTATTTACTTGACAGAAGAAAAACCACAGAAGTTGGGATCAAATGTTGGCTCTGCATTGACAGTCTCCCTAGGGACATGCCTCACTTCCTTCAGAGAGGATTGTTTTTCAGAGATAATGTTGAGGTTACTTTGTAGACAGGAAAGTCTCTCAAGACCACAAGTTAGGCCTTAGAGTGTGGAGGCGGCCACTGAACAGCACACGGTAGGGAAGGAGATTTTTTGGATCCTACATGTCCCATGTCCCTTTTCTTTTTCCAACTTCTTTGAAAAGTAGCAGAAAAACCTGCCCCCACGTTCTCACCACCGGTTTGCTTCCTTTTCAACCCTTTACTGAAATGACTGTCTCAAAATTCACTACCAACCTTGGAATGACCAAATGCTGCCTCGCTTGCTCAGCTCCACCCTCTTCCACTTCTCTGTGGCACAGGACACTACGGCTTCCCTGTTCCAGAACCCTCTGCTCCCTCACCCCTGAAATCAGTTACCAAGCTCTGTCAAGTTTCTGTTCATGACTTTTATTGCATTTAGCTCCACGTTTCCTTCCCACAATTCCATTGTCTCAATTATAGGCACTCACTACCTTTTACGAGGGTTATATCAACAATTTTCCTTTGTGTCTCTGCAGCTCCATGGATGTCTCCAAGTCCCAGCACTGAGAGCATTCCTTCTCTGCTCATGCCTCCAGAAACTCCCGTTTCCTTCTTGATGCCCAACTGCCTCACCTTTATAAAGCTCCACATCCTCAGCTCAAGTTTACAGCATCCTCCTTTCTTCTCCATGCCAACCCCAGAGCTTAGGCAAGAGAGAACCCCACAGACAAAGCCCAGCTGGAAGTCTTGCTGCACAAAGTCCCACCTTAGACACTTCCTCAGTAGGTTCCCTGTGCAATGCTGTTATTCCAGCTACACTCATTAAGAGCATGAGTAGATATCAGAAATCTAAAAAATCCTGAAATATATGAGTGGGGTGAGCCATTCATTCATCCAACAATCTCTATTCAAACATAACAAAATTAAGAGACACCCCTTGAAATTTAGAAGGAAGCAAATTTAGGTCAAATTAAACACCTCATTTGCAAACCTGATGGTCTAAGAAAGAGGACCGTTGTATTTTTGTAAAAGAGCCAAGTAAAATTTGCACAAATCCATGATATAATGTCCCCATGGATGAGTGAGTATGATGAACCCCTAATATCCACACTGCCCACTTGGCCTGGCCACACCCTACCATTCTCAGGATGCTTGTTCTAAGTGGTGGCAGATCTGAGAGCCCTGTACACACAATTCACTGCTTAATGACACATTGTCTCAAAATGCTTGAGGCCGTATCATGGATGATCATTCTATGACCTCAGCTAGATGATTATAGATTCCTTGAGTTCAGAACCACATCTCTTTTATTTCCCTGTATTTCCTACAAATCCTAATATCTATCCAAGCATTTTTAAATAAGTAACTGTAGTTCATCCTCAAAAAACTGATACTGATGTCATCTTAACCATATTCTTTTACATTTCAAAATCTCTTGGTACCACTCCTAGTGTAGAAAACTTGGGTACATAAATTATTTATTTGATCAACTACAATATTTCTCATTGGGGGGTGTGTGTGCTTGTGTATGTGTGGGGTGTGTGTGTGTGTGTGTGTGTGTGTGTGGTGTGTGCATGTGTGGGGTGGGGTGGGTGTGTGTCTTAAACTGTAATTAATTCTCCTAGAACTGATCTATTTAGAATGGTGTATAAGCAGTGCAAGCCAAGCACACAGAAAGACACATAAAATAATGCTAAAAATTTCCTATCACAACCAAGAGAAGCCTTTGATAATGATTTTTTAACATTAGGATTGCACAACTATGTGCAAAATTAAATTTGAAAACATTATTTCCCCTGAAATGAAGCCTGGCTCTTTAGTAAGGATGGTCATTCGCCTACTTGTTCTGTGTTACGCGTTTCCTACAGCCTAACCCACCGTTTGTCAGTACTTAGAAGCCCACGTGAGTTGTTATTTCTTTCAAGCCTCACAGGAGTTTTGTAGATGCTGTGTTGCAACAAGACTCATAGGAAATACACACCCCATGATATAGCTAAAACTTAGGAACTTTCCAAAAAATCAAAAAGGTCTGTAGGAACCCTTGCCCATTTTCTAGAAAATGTGCAACTACTCATCTCAAGCAAGCACCCAGTTTACCAGCTGAGTCTTCAGTGGGCTCTCCCCTAATGCCCAAGTTACTTTGCATTGAATCATAAATAGCAGGTTTAAGAGACTGTAAAAACTTTGGATAAAGCACAAACCATTGTCTCCAACTTTGGCAATGATTGATCTTTCTAGACATCAGTAAGGTGAATCCTGGACTCACACACCCGTATTTACTTGACAAAAGAAAAACCACAGAAGTTGGGATCAAATGTTGCCTCTGCCTTGATGGCATCCCTAGGGACATGTCCCACTTCCTTCAGAGAGGATTCTTTTTCAGAGATAATGTTGAGGTTACTTTGTAGACAAGAAAGTCTCTCAAGACCACAAGTTAGGCCTTAGAGTGAGGAAGCGGCCACTGAACAGCACGAGGCAGGTAGCAGAATCTTGACTCCAACTTGGCTCCGGTCAGCCAAGGCTGCAAACAACAGATTCTTCAGTCTTAAACCAACAGCACCATTTCTCTATCCGCACATTCATACTTAAAATTCCAATTGCTCATTACACATCTGGAGTCTATAGTAGCCTCAGTTTTAGTATTTGTTTGATGTTTTTCTTACCTTGAAAAAATAAAACTTGAACCTGAAAGGAGAAATATTCCCAAAGACCTAGCTACTTGAAAAACACACTTGAAGTATAATCTATTCAACTTCCCTTAGCTATACGTACAGTGAGGCAATATTTTTTATCCTTACCTTTTCTTCCCTCCCTTCTTTCTGTGCTTTGAAGAACTAAGCTTTACAGAAGGTTTGACTGATTCAAGGAAGCAAATGCAGAAGCTACTCTCCCTCCAAAGCCATCTGCTAAGCAGGCAATTCCCCCAGGCATCTGCTTGCAGCAAACACAACATAACACCTCCAGGCAAATCGCATGACCTAGATGCCAACAGACGCTGTTCTTGAACCATTCTGTGTGATGAGGATTTTCATCTTGGCAGCCATAAACATGGCTTTTGATTTATTTCAATATAAGACAATTTTCCTTTTGGTCTAATATGAAGGCTTGCGTTCTTTCGACAGATTCACATTCTCCTTCTGGAAAGCAATACTGCTCCCCATTGTATAGTGACCTTTCTTTGCTCTTTGCTGGTACTCACTAAAAAACATCTTCAAAGGCACTTAAGGAATTTCTTCGAACTAGTACAGAAATATATCCACATAATATATAAAAAATAAAAAAGCAGACCCCAATTTTGAAACACCCCATGTTCATCTTTAAAATTCCAGCTTAGGAAAATATAGCTATAAGCAATGCAAAGCCCGTCCTGAGGAAAGTGTTATTTTGCAGAGAGTTGGTCATCTGGCTGTTCTGTATTAATGAATGCCTTCTGTATGTTTCCTGAGATAAAGCTATGATTCACCCAGCAGATGCACACCGAAGCAGTGCAAAGGTCAGGAAATGACAAGGAAAAACATCCCTAAACTTGTCCTTATTTCTGCCCCTCCTACCCTCCTCAACCAGGTAGAGCAAAATAACTCCTTGTATTTTCTGCCGAAATCAGTTCCATTTGAAAAGCTTGCCAGCCGGGATGTTTAAAATGTTGCTGAATGATTAAACATAAATCCTTAAACGGAGAGAGCTGGTTTTTATTAAACATCCTAGAGCAAAGCTGTCTGCCCACACTTGTGCCCACGTCTGGCTGCGGGCTGATAAACGTGGTGGCTTTAAGATATTGCTTATTAGCATGACTGTATATTTCCACCTCACACAGTCACCCAAGGCTGATTGCTATCTGTTCATTGAATTCTGTGCCAGCAGCTGCGTCTTTTGTGTGCTTGCCATTATAATTTCAACGACTGAGACTTCATTTCCTATTTCTAAATAATAATAAAAATGTAAAGTTACAGATTTATGCATTCTTGTGTGTACATGTATGTGTGCCTCTACATGTGTGTGTATTTGTGTTTGTGTGTGTGTGTATATGTGTATATATATATATATATATATAAAATGGAAAGTCACTTAAAGTCACTGCATATTACAGAAAAGACACAATTTAATAAGCCATGCCAAACATTTCTATATAGAAATACACATATCCAACCACTTGACGGTTTTCCGCTATGGAGCATGGCTGGTGAATCTACAAAATAGAAGCAGGCATTTTTTTTTTTTTTTGCACAATAATCAAAACTGACATAATGCACTGAATACTCAGTGAACAGTTATGAAACTATTCATTTATAAACCTGTCTTTTTCCATAGCGTATAAGAGCATGCCACCGTGATTTGGTGAGCCCTCCTTGGTTTCAGAGCATCTGTATCAGAATCAGGTGTCGCGTGTAATGAAGCTTCAGGGAAGAAACGTGGCTCCAGGTCAGGATGGTACCCTGTCCCTGCAGCGAGCAGAGGGAGGGGATGCTGGGGCCAGGGGACACCTCTCGTACAGGCAAGGGTTTATATTAATAGTGCCAACAAGACCTCCACATCCTCTCATAGAAAGTGGATCATTTGCTCCAATTTTCTAAGATTCAGACAATTCCCTAAGGCATGGCGGATATTTTAAGTCCCCCTGTAGCTAAGTCATACATCTGATAATATGCTTGGTGGGTCATTGGTAAGGAAAAAGCTACTGACTTACTGACACAACTAATGCAGAAAAAGTTTCCCAGACGTTGCTAACAGCCCAAATGCCTTTCGCCCAGAGCACATAGCTAATATTTCCCAATTCATGGAAAACAGAAAGAATGGTTTCTATGGATTAGATACTGCAGGGATTTGCGAGTGAAACTTGGTTATTTTAACTACCCACCACCTTTAGTGGGGGCTCTCCTTATGCACTCATGACCTCTAGTTCTGGGTGAAACTTTCCCTCTTAGAGGTCCCAAGGAATGCGGTAAGGTGTGACATAATCCAGGTTAAAATACCTCATTTGAGTGGAGTGTTCATGGCATGTCTGGTGTCTCAGAATATCTGGACTAAAATTACCATGTACCATTACTTCTAAACTGAATGAACAATGATTATTCAAATGAATGGGCACAATTTTCTTAGGACTCTAATTTGATCTGAGATCGTTTCTAAGTTTATAGGAACGGCTGCTCCAATAATCTCTGGGGTGTGCGTTGGTCTAGAGCAGCCTTGATAGCTTAGGCCCCAAAGCCACGGCAGCACAGACGAAGTCTTGTCTTTCTCAGCCCCACCAGGCCGAGCATTCTCACCCCCAACTCTGAGGATCCCTAGAACTTCAAACAGACCTGTGACTATATAGAGCTGTTCATTCCTCCCAAAGCAAAGTACCCTAGACACAGAATTACTCACAGTATACAGTGTGCCTTCCCTATAACATAAAACAATTCAATATTTCATTGCATTACGGTAGGTGATGTTTCAGATAATGGGGCAAATACAATCTTTTTTTCTTCAACTCAATTTAAATAAAAGCTATATTTTACTTCATAATGCCCTGATTTTCAAACACAGAAAAGAAAAAATTAGAAGACCCTGTCCTGCCTAAAAACAAAAAAGAAAGAAAGACGACAATCCAGCATACAAGAGTGTTCGGGGAGAGGGTGATGGAGGACTGATGAAGAAACAGGAAGACAAGTATACCCCAAAAAAGTGAGCACAGGCCAGGCACAGTGGCTCACACCTGTGATCCCAGCACTTTGGGAGACCAAGGCAGGTGGATCACCTGAGGTCAGGAGTTTGAGACCAGCCTGGCCAACACGGAGAAACCCTGTCTCTACTAAAAATACAAAATTAGCCAGGCATGATGGCAGGCACCTGTAATCCCAGCTACTCAGGAGACTGAGACAGGAGAACTGCTTGAACCTCAGAGGCGGAGGTTGCAGTGAGCTGAGATCATGGCACTGCACTCCAGCCTGGGTGACAGAGCAAGACCCCATCTCAAAAAAAAAAAAAAGTGAGTATAATTAAAAAAAAAAAAAAAAGTACTACTGATGTTGAAAAAAGAAAGAGTTCACAATTTGCCTGGTGTTGAAATGATGGTATAGAATTCATGGAGAGGCAGCATCAAGGATTTATCCTGAAAGATATTCAGGGTTTTAAAATTGATAAACAGTACAGGCCAGACTATTCAGGCTCTGAAACAAGAAGACAGACAAGGGAGCAAAAGGCGAGTGCATTCTGAGTGCCAAGGTGCTGGTTTGACTGCAGCATGCAGGCAGGAAGAGGGAGTGAGTGCACCTTGAAATGGAGGAGGGGCTTTTGGGGCAGGGTCCTCACTGAGGAGTGGTGGAGGGAACTAACCCAGTAAAAGACAGCCCCTGACAGCTGTTGGGCAGCAGAAGGCTATGACAACAAAGGTGCTTTAAGAATAGTGGTCTAGGCTGGGCGCAGTGGCTCACACCTGTAATTCCAGCACCTTGGGAGGCCAAGGTAGGCATATCACCTAAAGTCAGAAGTTTAAGACCAGCCTGCCAACATGGTGAAATTCCATCTCTACAAAAAATACAAAGATCAGCAATCCCAGCGACTCTGGAGGCTGAGGCGGGAGAATCATTTGAACCCAAGATAGCTCCATTGCACTCCAGCCTGGGCAACAGAGCGAGATTCCATCTAAAAAAAATTTTTTTTAAAGAGAATAGTAGTCTACCAATTGTGAAGAAAGTGTTGGAATTGAGAGAGAGGGAAGACAGAATTACAAGCATGGACCATCAGAACCACAGTAATGCTGGGGAGCAAACAGCCACAGCATTCCAGCACCCAGCAACCATCACCTTCAGATCTGCAGGTTGGCTGGGGGTCACCTGATCCAGGCTTCCACGTGGCTTACATTGCCCTCCTAGGATCAGTGGGTTAGCCCTGGTGTGGAATTCTCCTGGAGGGGGCACAAGCCCAAGTGGGTGAGCACATTTCAAGTCTCTTTGAGTCAGACCTGACACCGTCCCACTGGCTAAGAAGTCACTTGGTCACACCCAGTGTTCATGAGTAGGGCTGCCCACCGCCCCCATGGGAGTGGGAAGAAAGAGTGAACAGTCCAAGCCATGGTCACCCCACCATCAGCAGCTCAAGTCAGGAAGTGGGCATGGAAATGTGGAAGACGAAACAGCTGTGAGGAGTCTTACAGAGCTCAAGTCCAAAACTGCCAACAATGGTTTCACACACTGAGTAGGATTAGATGACAGTGTAAAAAGAGATGAATTTCAACCTTCAAACATGGGCCATTATGATTAGCAGGAGGCCGCAATCATAAACATTGAGATGAAACAAAATTTGGAGACGAAGATTATGAGTTTGTTTTAAATGTATTGAATTTAAAGCGCCAGGAATATACGGGCATGAGGCATCCAGGAGGCAGCCGTTTCTATGGACCTAGAGCGTGGTAAGAGTGGTGTCTAAAGAGAGCGTTGTGAGCCATCTGCATAGAGGCTGAAACCAGGAAGTCAATAAGACCTTCTAAGACCCAGGTCTTAGAAAACCAGAGGTGAAGCCAGGCATTGTGGCTCATACCTATAATCCCAGCACGTTGGGAGGCCAACAGGAGTGGATCTCTTGAGCCCAGGAGTTCAAGACAAGCCTGGGAAACATGGCAAAATCCCATCTCTACAAAAATACAAAAATTAGCTGGGTTTGGTGGTGCGTCTACCTGTAATCCCAGCTACTTGGGTAGGTGAGGTAGGAAAACTGCTTGAGCTAGGAGGGAGAGGTTGTAATGAACTGTCATACCACTGCATTCCTGCCTGGGTGGCAGAACCAGACCCTGTCTGGGAAAAAAAAAAAAAAAAGACAAGAAAACAGAGGGGAGGAGGCCCCAAGGCAAGGTCTCAGAAGGTTGTCCCCAGACAACCTGAACACATTAGGTTATCTCGGACTGTACTTCTCCTGAATCTTCACATCCAGTCACCTTCAAAATTCTAAATACACTTCTGCTGGAATATCCATCAAACCTTTCCTCCAATTGTCATTTCCACACACATGTTAGCAATTGATATGATAGCAATACATCATTGCCTTGTAGGAAGCTTAAAATATGGGTTCTCCAGGAGGTAGTTTTTTTGAAAAGATCAACAAAATAGATAGACCACTAGCCAGACAAATAGAGAATGAAAGAGAGAAGAATCAAATAGACACAATAAAAAATGATAAAGGCAATATCACCGCCGATCCCATAGAAATACAAACTACCATCAGAGAACACTTAAACACCTCTACACAAATAAAAAAGAAAATCTACAAGAAATAGACAAAATTCCTGGACACTTATACCCTCCCAAGACTAAACCAGGAAGAAGTCTAATTCCTGAACAGATCAATAACGAGGTCTGAAATTGAGGCACCAATTAATACCCTAACAACCAAAAAAGTCCAGGACCAGTTTCACAGCCAAATTCTACCAGAGGTACAAAGAGGAGCTGGTACCATTCCTTCTGAAACTATTCCAAACAACAGAAAAAGAGGGAATCCTCCCTAACTCATTGTATGAAGCCAACATCATCCAGATACCAAAACCTGGCAGAGACACAACTAAAAAAGAAAATTTCAGGCCAATATCCCTGATGAACATTGATACGAAAATCCTCAATTAAATACTGGCAAACCGAATCCAACAGCACAGCAAGAAGCTGATCTATCCCGATCAAGTCGGCTTCATCCCGGGGATGCAAGGCTGGTTCAACATACGCAAATCAATAAATGTAATCCATCACATAAACAGAACCAAAGACAAAAACCACATGATTATCTCAATAGATGCAGAAAAGTCCTTCAACAAAATACAATAACGCTTCATGCTAAAAATCTCAATAAACTAGGTATTGATGGAATGTATCTCAAAATAATAAGAGCTATTTATGACAAACCTACAGCCAATATCATACTGAATGGGCAAAAACTGGAAGCATTCCCTTTGAAAACCAGCAGAAGACAAGGATGCCCTCTCTCACCACTCCTATTCAACAGAGCATTGGAAGTTCTGGCCAGGGCAATCAAGCAAGAGAAAGAAATAAAGGGTATTCAAATAGGTAAAGAGGAAGTCAAACTGTCTCTATTTGCAGGCAACATGATCGTATCTTTAGAACACCCCACCGTCTCAGCCTAAAATCTCCTTAAGATGATAAGCAACTTCAGCAAAGTCTCAGGATACAAAATCAATGTGCAAAAATCACAAGCATTCCTATCCACCAATAAGAGAAAAACAAAGAGCCAAATCATGAGTGAACTCCCATTCACAACTGCTACAAAAATAATTAAATACCTAGGAATACAACTAATAAGGGATGTGAAGGACCTCTTCAAGGAGAACTACAAACCACTGCTCAAGGAAATAAGAGAGGACACAAACAGATGGAGAAACAATCCATGCTCATGGTTAGGAAGAATCAATATTGTGAAAATGGCCATACTGCCCAAAGTAATTTATAGATTCCATGTTCTCCCCATCAAGCTACCATTGACTTTCTTCACAGAATTAGAAAAAAACACCTTAAATTTCATGTGGAACTAAAAAAGAGTCTGCAGAGTCAAGACAATTCTAAGCAAAACAAACAAAGCAAGCTGGAGGCATCACACTACCTGACTTCAAGCTATACTGCAAGGCTACAGTAACCAAAAGAGCATGGTACTGGTACCAAAACAGAGGTACAGACCAATGGAACAGGATAGAGGGCTCAGAAATAACAAGACACACCTACAGCCATCTGATCTTTGACAAACTTGACAAAAACAAGCAATGGGGAAAGGATTCCCTATTTAATAAATGGTGTTGGGAAAACTGGCTAACCATATGCAGAAAGCTGAAACTGGATCCCTTCCTTACACCTTATACAAAAATTAACTCAAGATTGATTAAAGACTTAAACTTAAGACCCAAAACCATAAAAACTCCAGAAGAAAATCTAGGCAATACCATTTAGGACACAGGCATAGGCAAAGACTTCATGACTAAATCACCAAAAGCAATGGCAACAGAAGCCAAGATTGACAAATGGAATCTAATTAAACTAAAGAACTTCTGCACAGCAAAAGAAACTCATCAGAGTGAACAGGTAACCTACAGAATTGGAGAAAATTTTTGCAATCTACCCATCTGACAAAGGGCTAATATCCAGAATCTACAAAGAACTTAAACAAATTTACAGAAAAAAAACAACCCCATCAAAAAGTGGGCAAACGGTATGAACAGATACTTCCCAAAAGAAGACATTTATGTAGCCAACAAACACATGAAAAAAAAAAAAAAAAACCTCATCATCACTGGTCATTAGAGAAATGCAAATCAAAATCACATTGAGATATCATCTCGCGCCAGTTAGCATGGCAATTATTAAAAAGTTAGGAGACAACAGATGCTGGAGAGTATGTGGAGAAATAGGAATGCTTTTACATTGTCAGTGGGAGTTTAATTAGTTCAACCATTGTGGAAGACAGTGTAGCAATTCCTCAAGGATCTAGAACTATAAATACCATTTGTCCCAGCAATCTCATTACTGGATATATACTCAAAGAATTATAAATTGTTCTATTATAAAGACACATGCACATTTATGTTTATTACAGCTCTGTTCACAATAGCAAAGACTTGGAACCAACCCAAATGCCCATCAATGAT